TTGAAAACCACCACACTTTCTTTACATATCAGACAAACTGCACGCTCCTTACACTGTGTAACAAAATAATCATTCGTCCACTGTTCTATGAAAACTCTGCACTCTCTGTCAACTTTTCCTATTTTAACACTTCCCATTTTGCTGTCCTTAACTGCACTACACTACTTTGTGCGTGCGTTGACTGTCACTGTTTGATCTCGAGCAAAAATTCACCGGCAAATTCCGTGGCAAATGTAAATACATCATATAATTATTGAAGTATAAATACATATACATATAAATATCATTTTTTTATTGAAAAAAATACAAGATGCAGACGTGTTATTATTTGCCAAAAAGTAATAAAAAAAAATAGGCCATGACAACTTTTGAGGCCGTAGTTTGATGACCCCTGCTCAACATCCGAAACATACTTGGTGTTTCCTTTTGTTTCATTCACACGTTTAACGCCACACAAACCCTGCATATTTAGGTGCTTCTCTTAAACTGAAAATACTCTGGTGCACCTTGTGATGTCTTGTGATCATGAAAGAAGTGCTCCACTGTGTTTTTAAACTCCATACACCTTCACTAGAATCATTGAGATCATTTCAGACATGGAATTGTCGATCTCTACTGAACGAAAGATTAAAAAAAAAAAAAATTGCTGTTAACTTGCAGCAGCTACATGACATCACAAGGTGGAACAGAGCATTTCGAGCTTTGGAGTTGTAGACGGACTAATAATAAAGGATTACTCAAACATGTGTCACTGAAACAAAACACAACTAAAATTTCAGCAGAGGTAACAACATTATAACATGGCTTAAAGCTCACGAGAGTCAATTTTGTGTCATATAAGACCCTTTAAAGAGCCTATATTCTGCTATAATCATAAACATATTGTGTTTTTAAGTCTGTTGTAATGTTGTAATGTAGTTTCCTCCTCAAAAACATACCCAGAGTTGTGTTTAGTTTCATGAAATCAGATCTTATAAGGTGAAAGGCTGAATTTGAGGAAGAGGAAGTGAAGGGAAGTCAGGAGTGAAAGAGAGGAGGGTTTGAGAAGGTGTTCGCGTGAGAGGAAGAGAATAAGAGCGATAGACAGGGCTGAAAGTGTGTTTGCGTGAGAGATGAGACCGGAAGTGAAAGAAAAGGAGAGAAAGAGACAAGGAAAGAGAGAGAGAAATTCAGAGAAAGACAAGAACAAATGCTTATACACATGAAAAGCAGCCAGAAGTGTTTTTATCTCCACATTTTACAAAAGAACAATAAAGCCAAAGGGAATTATTTGCCATCAAGTTTCAAAAAAGCAACCCCCCTTAAAAAAACAAACAAAAAACCCCCCAAAAAACAGCCCGTATAACTGCCACTGCCACACTCCCACGCAATCATAGACCACAGAACTGCTCCCAACTAGACTTGGTTTAATCAAACAGGCTTTTTAATGTGTCCTTATTCAAATGTAATTATGAATCCAATTATAATACTTCAACTTGCGTCAGAGTCAACTAAAAGTCATTCAGTAGTAAATTAAAGCTTTTTGTAGGGTAATGACCTTTTCATAAATTAGACAAAATGGGCGTTATAATGTTATCTCCTGAAAAAACATACCTGGAGTTGTGTTTTGTTTCATTCGCACGAGTTTGAGTCATGTTTTATTATTCTCTGTCTGCATCTCCAAAACTCAAAATGCTCATGAAGAGGTAGTTTGAAGTTAACTGCTACGTTTTACAGTTTGTTCAGTAGAGATCGGCAATTCCAGGACTGAATTTATCGAAGTGATTCTAGTGCAGGCGTATGGAATCCAAAAAACCACACTGGAGCACTTCCTGTATTACCACAAAACAATTGTAGTCCTGTATGCACATGTGTGTTAGACAATAGGACAACCGCATAGACAGTGTTGGGAGTAACAGATAACTTGTACCGGAGTTACATGATCAAAGTACAAATTATGAGTAACTGTATTCAGTTACAGTTACTGTTTCAGTGAGTGGTAAATGGATTACAGTTACTTTGTTGAAATAAGTGGATTACACTGAGGTATTTTCCTGTTTTTACATTTTGGGCTTAATCCCCCTTTTCTTTCTTTTCTTTTTTTTTTTTCCATTGCCGACACTAAACCAGGTCTAAGCCAGGTCTAAAACCAGGTCTAAAACCAGGTCTAACCAGGTCTAAACCAGTCTAAACCAGGTCTAAACCAGGTCTCTAAACCAGGTCTAAACCAGGTCTAAACCAGGTCTAAACCTAAACCAGGTCTAAACCAGGTCTAAACCAGGTCTAAACCTCTAAAGTCTAAACCAGGTCTAAACCAGGTAAACCAGGTCTAAACCAGGCAGGAGGTCTAAACCTAAACCAGGTCTAAACCAGGTCTAAACCAGGTCTAAACCAGGTCTAAACCAGGTCTAAACCCTAAACCAGGTCTAAAACCAGGTCTAAACCAGTCTAAACCACCAGGTTCTAAACCAGGTCTAAACCAGCAGGTCTAAACCAGGTCTAAACCAGTCTAAACCAGGTCTAAAACCAGGTCTAAACCAGGTCTAAAACCAGGTCTAAACCAGGAGGTCTAAACCAGGTCTAAACCAGGTCTAAACCTAAACCAGGTCTAAACCAGGTCTAAAACCAGGTCTAAACCAGGTCTAAACCAGGTCTAAACCAGGTCTAAACCAGGTCTAAACCAGGACTAAACCAGGAACTAAACCAGGTCTAAAACCAGGTCTAAACCAAGTCTAAACCAGGTCTAAACCAGGACCAAACCACAACTAAACCAGGACTAAAACCAGGTCTAAACTAGATCTAAACCAGGTCTTAAACAGGATTTAACAGGACTAAACCATGCTGTGTGGACGTGTCTCCTCCTCTTTTATCAATAATATGTTTAATCTGGTTGAGGAAAGTCTGGGCTTTTTATTGTCGTTTATCAGATAAAACATCTTATGTTATGATATCCAAGTGTTTGCTTCTCTACAGCAAATCAATTAATCCAAAGTAATCAGATTACATTACTCATGTTAAGTAATTTAATGGATTCTGTTACAACCTACATTTTGGTGTTTGTAATCTGTGATCTGTAGGGGAATGGGGGAGGTGGGCAGTTCCTTTTTTCCATTGGGTCACATGAGAAACAGAAAACACTGGAGGGACGAGCCAAAACGCATAACTCAATTCTGCTTAATACCAATTGTTCTGGCTCCTTATGAGTTGTCCAGATGTTGTTTTACATTTTAAATATGTTTTTTTTTTTATGTTTTATGTTTCTGAAGAGGTCCTACATATTCGTGTTCTGTTTTGGGGACCAAAGGCAGTGCTGCTTGTCGCTGTTTCTTGAGGATGTGTTCTGAGCCAGCACAGACTTTTTACCACAAACCACCACTCATGAATAAATACCTCAAAGGAATAACTCACTGGTTATTGGTTGGTAATCTGCCTGCCTAGAGACACATGGGGAAACCCAGATGCAGAACATTAAAAAATTAATTTCTTAATTAAAAAGCAAGTAAAAAATAAAAAAAACAAAAATGCAATAAAATGATAAAAGTATGTTTATTTTGTAAATCCAAATGGGCCAGTCAGAGTCAACCAAAGCCAAACCCAAAACATGCTACAGGTCTGCAGGAAGAACAGTTGATCGCAAAGGTTAGTTAAACACAATCAATCTATGAACCTGCCCAGGCACGACAGGTGGAAATGAGCACTGGTGCTACAACCTGATGTACAATGGATCTCTCCTGTTAAGGTTCATGTAAAAATTATGCGCCGTTCCTGTCTCAAATAAATAAATAAATAAAATAAAAAGTACCATAGATAAAATCAGGCAGTGGTGTAATATGAAGGTGTAGACAGATGAACAATACAAGGATCCTCAGCTGTTTTTGAATTTGTTTTGAATCTGTTTTGAAGCAAAATACAACTCCAGATATGCTTTTGATGAGGAAACTGTATTAAATAACATTGCTTACAACTAAATTAATGGAACTTTAATGTGACACAAACAGACCCATAAAATACAATGTACTTTTTTTGGAGTGTAAACTGAAAGTTAATTTGCTACTAAAATGCTCACAATTTAGTTCAGATAGTTTTTTTTTTTTTTTTTTTAGCTCTTAGAATTGCAATTATTATGATGCACAAATATTAATTAACCAAATGATGTCAAAATGTCTTGTACTTTTTTAACACAAGGAACATGGCCTGCAACTGTGAAAGGAAAAAAGGCAATCTTAGCTTTTTTCCCCTTTTTTTCTTAATATTCTGCCCTCTCCCTCTTCTTTCTTTCTTTTATTTACATACTTATACACACACACACACGCGCACACACACACACACGCACATGCACACACCCATAGAAGCAAGTTTTGGTTGTATCTTTAATAATATATATGTTTTTTTGATTTCTAAAAAACTAAAACTTCTAAACACTGCAAAACACAAAATATGTTTTAGTATAAATTTAAGCAACAACAACAAATTAGCTGCAATATTTTAACACTTCTCCATCCTTTTGTTCTGTTAAACTCTGCTGATTTACTGAAAAACACATGCTTTATACTAGTCTTTTCCCGAGCAAAAAAAATTACATAATATGGCATTACGGAAAGCATGGTCACGCTGCGGTTTTGAAAAGAAAAAGGGAAACGACACTCAGCTTTGCTTCTTTTCTAATTTTCTCTTCGTAAACCTTCTTATTACTTCTTTTAGTTCCTATTTTTGGTTTGATTACAATACCTACACTTAGCCTTGTGAATCCATTCAAACTTCAAACCTGATCAAGTCAAAACGTCTAATGTCTTTTCATTTTTTTCTATTTCTATTGTTTCTAGTATCACAATTTACAAAAGGCTCAAAACAGCAACATCAACAAAGCAAATAATGCAGAACGAATTTTCAAGCAATCTGAGCTTTCAAAACAAACCTCCAGCATCCAACTGGCGACTGCAACAGATTTCTTGCTTTCTTTCATGCTTTTTTTTTTTTTTTTTTTTTTTTTTTGCACTGTATGTTGGGTAAACTGGACTCACCGGTGGAACAAAGGAGCAGAAGAAGCAGAACAACGGTCATATTTGGGTTTTGTCGTGATTTTCTGCAGCTTGAGTCGTGCGTGTGAGGAATGCTTCTCTCCAGTTCTGTGAATGAGATGAACTGAGTAAACTTCCACAATACCTTTATGGTTTATAGCCCCTCCTACTTCCTCTGCGTCAGGCTGTCTTCACTGTCAGAGGGAGTGGAAAGTGGCAGTTTAAACATTATGATTTCAGAACACGTGCTACGAAAAAAGTACAATTTATCTCAGTTAATGTTTCAGATTTTCAAAACAGTTCATTCAACTTTTTTTTTTTTTTTTTCCCCAGTGTGGTTTAAGTGTCGTGTTAAACTTTGAGGAAGTGCTGTTTTGTTTTGTTTTTTGTCCTGCTGTCTTTGAACACACCCATTTTCTCCACTCACCTCATGACTAACTTCTGTTGCTGGGCGGGTGATATAGTAGGCAAGGCAAGGCAAGTTTATTTGTATAGCACAATTCGTACACAAAGTAATTCAAAGTGCTTTACAGAATAAGAAATACATTAAAATCATAATAAAAACAAATCAAAACATAAATAATCATGAAGATTAAAATTAAAAAAGAGAGACATAAATTGGAGAGAAGAGTGCGGAATGAAAACCTTTCAGTTATTTGCACAGTTAAACAGAAATGTTTTGAGTCTGGATTTAAACAGCGTCACAGAAGAGTCTGTCTCACATGTTCAGACTGTTCCAGGTTTTAGCTGCATGAACCTGAAACGCTGACTCCTCTTGTTTAGTTGTGACTCTGGGCACCAGCAGGAGGCCGGTCCCTGAGCTCCTCAGAGTGCGAGATGGTTCATATGACACTAACATGTCACAGATGTACTTTGGTGCTCGGCCATGGAGAGACTTGTACACAAGCAGAGCTGTTTTAAAGTCTATTCTCTGAGGCACAGGAGCCAGTGCAGAGACCTGAGCACAGGACTTATGTGCTTGTACTTCCTAGTTCGAGTAAGGACCCGAGCTGCAGCATTCTGGATGTTCTGCAGCGTCTCACAGCTCGTTTGGAGAGACCAGTGAGCAGACCATTACAGTAGTCTAACCTACTGGAGACAAATGCATGGATAAGTTTCTCCAAGTCTGATTTAGACAGTAAACCTTTGATTTTTGCTATGTTTTTTAGATGGTAAAAGGCTGCAGATGTTATTGATTTTATGTGACTGTTAAAGTTCAAGTCTGAGTCCATTATTACCCCTAGATTTCTTGCCTGATTTGAAGGTTTTAGAGAGAGAGACTGGAGGTGACTGCTGACACTGTCCCTTTGTTTCTGTGGACCAAACACTATGACTTCAGTCTTGTCAGAGTTTAGCTGGAGAAAGTTGTTTTGCATCCACACACTGATCTGTTGGATGCAGTGACCAAGTGACTCCACTGGTCCATAGTCTCCTGCTGCCAGAGAGACGTAGATCTGAGTGTCGTCTGCATAATTGTGGTAGGACACGTTATTGCTGCTTATTAACTGGCCTAATGGCAGCATGTAGAGATTGAACAACAGGGGGCCCAGGATTGACCCCTGAGGCACCCCACAGGTCAGGGCCATGTCATATAGTAATGTGCTGAAACGACAAAGCCTTTTTCTTGCAAAAGGAAAACGCGCAGTTCCACCTTGCGATGTCATGTGGAAATACAGTAAGTGCGCCTCTGTGTTTTTAAACTCCATACACTTCCACTAGAATCATTTGGATCATTTTAACCCTCTCCAGGCAGGCGTTGCAGATTTAAAACAGCTAAATGCCAATTACCTATTTACTCCAAATCCATATTTTATGAGCTTTTTTTTAAACTCAGGAGCCTTTTTTCACATCCGTGCTGATAAACGTGGACGATGCAGACTGTGCAAGAATGGCTACACACAAACGACCTGCCAGAAGTGCAAAATGCTTTTGTTGTTTACAAAGGATAAAAATTGTTTCTTGGAGCACCACACAAAAAAGTGATGTTGTTCTGCCACTTTATGTTTTCATTGTTATGAAAAGTGGTATACACATAAAGTTAGCGTTCATATCATTTTCAGTCTTCAGTGTTAATTTACCACCGGACCAATGCTGCAAATCTGTAACATCCCAGAATGCACTGCATGTGAAGGTCTCTCTCAAACAAAAAGTCAGGATTGTATATTACTACCCCATATGATCATTTTCCCCGAATATCAGATTTTTCCTGTTACTAAAATTTGATTTGAGCCTGAGAGGGTTAACCCTGGAAACATGCCAACTGAACCAAAAGATAAAAGGAGCTGTTAACTAGAAAACTACCACTACATGACATCACAAGGTGGAACACAGTATATTAGCCTTTGCAGATGTAAACTGACTAATAATAAAGGGTTACTCAAACTTTTGTGAATGAAACAAAACTCCACTCCATGTGTGTTTTGGAGGAGGTAACAACATTATACAGTGACTTCAACCTCACAGGAGTTGATTTTGCATAACATATTGTTTTCATTGTGATGTCATGTGGTGATACAGGAAGTCCTCCACTGAGTTTTGAACCCAATCTCAACTAAAGTAGGTAAAAGGTAGCTGTTGAAAACTACCACTTCATGACATTACAAATTGGAACAGAGCATTTTGAGCTTTGGAGATGTAGACAGACTAATAATAAAAGCCTCCTCAAACATTTGTCAAACCCAACTCCAGGGACCTTATTTATAAAGGACGACATAGGGATTTTCTTGAGCTAGTGCATACTCCTGGTGGCCACCAAAGGCATGCACCACGCTCACTCCAAACTGATAAAGCCCTTCGTGTGCAATGTGTGCTTTATAAATCCACCTGCAGCTGCACCACTCCACTTTACCATAAAAGGACATGCAAAGTGACTTGTGAATGAGATTTCCCCGTGAGCCGATAAACAGTAGGTTTGACTGAGACACGCGGGACAGAGAAGGAGGAGGAGACGCTCCACGCAGCACCACACACTCAAAGGCTTAAACAAGGTTTTACAAATAAACACAAAAATAAAAGTAATTGCAACAACTGATCTCTTAATTTAAATTAGAAAATGACAATGATAGTTTGCAGATAGTTGTAGCATTATGTTTTTATAAGACCCAGCACTGCATCAGGAGCAGTGCATGATCCAGTTTTTCTGGTCTATCCCTTGACGACAGAGAAGATAAACAAACATAGAGTCAGTTAGAAGATATTCAGGCTCATTAGAGATCAGCCTCACAAGTCACAATAATGTTGTGTCATTATTACAGTAATGTTACTTCAAAATAATAATATTACAGGTACAGTATCTGAAGGAGCAGTGCAAGAAACACCAATCATATCGTCACAAAGCTTTTGTCACTTCAGACTTACTCACAGTGGGAAGAGGAACCAAAAGTTTTACTCAAGTAAGAGTATTGCTACTTCAATAAAATAGTACTCAAGTAGGAGTACATGTATGCTGCTAGAAAGTAGCCTACTGTTTCTTTAAAAAGTCAATGAAGAGAGTGCACATTAACACTGCTTTTGATGTAGTCTATGTGCAAGTCCTGGATCAGTCCTGGTTCAGTCCTCATTTAGTCCTGGTTAAATCCTTTTTAAATCCTGGTTCAGTCTGTGTTTAGTCCAGGTTTAGACCTGGTTTAGATCTGGTTTAGTCCTAGATTAGTATGGTTAGACCAAGTTTAGTCATGGTTCAGTCCTCGGTCATTCCTGGGTCAGTTCTGGTTTAGTCCTAGTTCAATCTAGGATCAGTCCTGGTTTAGTTCTGGTTTAGTCCTAATTTAGTACTGGTTTAGTCCTGGTTCAGTGCTGGTTTAGTACTGGTTTGTATTGGTTTAGTTCTGGTTTAGTTCTGTTTTTGCTCTTTATTCATTCTGACAGATAAGACATTGAACTTTGTGCCAGTTTTTGTTTCATGTGGATAGACCCAGTATTTACAGAGATATTAACTGTAATCCAGGTCCATTTCAAACATTTGGAAATACAAACCTTCATTACATTTCCTGTAAAATAAGTTTGTCTCACACTTATGTATGAGTCATGTCCATAGACATCGGTCTGCTGTGTCACTCAAATACAGTTCCTCATTAAACCAACAACAATGTGTTTTGGATGTGGTTCAGTCCTGATTTAGTCCTGGTTTGGTTCTGGTTTAGTCGCGATTTAGCCCTAGTTCAGACCTTGTTCAGTCCTGCTTTAGTTCATCATCATCATCATCATCATCATCATCATCAAACTTTTATTACAGACTCTTGGTCCAAAAAACAAACAAACAAAAAAACAACCCACACTTCACAACATTCACAGTCTCCACAGTTCAGACTGGAACCTCTTGGCTCTGAGTTTGCCATTAGTCCTGCTCATGATAACACTGTTCTCAAAGACATTAAGGCGACAGTGTATGATGCAGTACAGTAAGCCTTCAAAAGTGTCTTTTTCACTTCCACTCTATACTGTAGAGTTTACAGGCACCAAACTATTATTTGACAGATCATCTGTGATTAAAAAAACCCAAAAAAAACGTCCCAAATATTTGTATTTGTTACATACAGTCAGATCATTACCACACAATTATTACGCTCTTATTGGCCTTATATTTGGGAATGTGCAATAATTATAACTAAAACTGCACATAGGCTTAGGGAATGTGCAATCAAAACTGCACATACTTAGGGAATGCAATACTGCACATAGGCTTAGGGAATGTGCAATAATTATACTAAAACTGCACATAGGCTTAGGGAATGTGCAATAATTAATAGAACAGAAGAATGCAAGGGCCTGTTAAGGATAATTTAAGGGTCGTGTTGGTGCATCACTCGTGGTCATACTGGTCTCATATTTACTTTGTTTTATGGTGTTTGTTTATGTGCTGCTTTGTGTTGTGTCGTCCTGTTTTTTGATCAAACATGTTACCCCCTGTCCCAAGACAAATTTCTCCCATGGGAGACAATAAAGGATTATCTTATCTTATCTTATCTTAACACAACAAGATTGTCTGCATACATCAGGGAGCCCCAATCATACAGCCTGTTCTACATGCATTTAGTTCTTCAAATCAATTCAAATCAATTAATAAAACAAAATTCCTCCTTGCTTGACTCCATTACTGACAGTGAACAAGTCT